TATTCGAATTTTTTAGAAAAAGTGGCAGATGCAGCCTCTCGAACAAGAGCCATTTTTATGTAAATTAACATTTTTAAAAATATGCAGCTAGTGAATTGTGATAATTTAAGGTTGAACGGATCACGCATCATCTTCACGTCCACTGAATAATCCACAGGGTGCGCAAAATCTAGGGTCCATTAGTTCTTCATCCATCGTATCAATTTTCAGAATCGCCCTACTTTCAGTTTTCTATATATAGATCGCGTTAACCAGTCAAGATTAGACTAGAATGTGGTGACTGTTCAGTAGCTTATACAGGCCAGACAGGCAGAAATTCCAAAATAAGATACCGTATTGTCACATACAAAATCAGCTATATATGCGCATCTACATAAAACAAACCACACAACAAATAACACAAAACCCTCAATGACCAACTAGAACTATGCAGCTCTCACCTTTTGTATTTGTGAACTTTGACATTTAGTTTAAGATCCATTTATTCTAATGAGCCCATCATATTTTTTACTTACTTGAATTATTTGAATGAAATCAGCGATCACTGCAAATTAATCAAAATTACCGTTGGACCTTCAATGTCAGAATCACTGCAAATTAATCAAAATTACCGTTGGGACTTCAACGTGCGAATCAATGAGTACACATATTCTGCTAAATAAATTATTTTTTACTTACTCGTATACTGAATAATGACATTGGCTATAATTATGAAAATCGCTGATATTCAGTATGAGTGTTTTTAATGACATAACACTGGGATTGTGGTTGCTTTGAAGTCAAATGGCAGGTTGTTGATTTGTGCCGATGTCAAAGTCACCATAAATCAGCATGTTCAAAGAGATGAAATCCCGTAACCTCATTTTGAGGACATCACAGCAAAATAATCTGGAGGAAGAAACTTTTCTAAAATCGACCTGAAGGACGCATACCTTCAAATAGAAGTCCACCCAGACTCCCGTGAATGTTTGGTAATCCCTTCACATACCGGTGATTACCATTCGGCATCAGTGTGTACCTTAACATCGTCTTCTCAAAAAGAATTCAAAGTGGGAATGGTCGAATGGAGACACTGAAGTATTCGAAAATTCAAAGCAAAGCCCGACCTCAAATGATGCATTACGACCCTGAAAAACCCCTGTTGATAGTGATGCAAGCAATGCAGGTGCAGGCGCCGTGCTATCACACAAATTTCGAGATAAAACGCTGAAACCAATCACCTTCGCATCAAGATCCTTCAGTGATGTCGAAAAACGTTACTCCACTACTAACAAAGAGGCCTTGGGATTAGTATATGCCGTTACCAAGTTCCACCAATATTTATGTGGTCGAAGATTCACCCTCATTACGGATTATAATCCATTGTAGCGTATTTTTGAAGAGGATTGTCAAACTCCAAAAATGCAATGAACCGACTCTTAAGATGGGCCATGACGCTAAATAGTTATAATTTCAACTTTCCGTATCAGAAATTGTCCTGCAGATTCACTTTCCAGGCTGCCCTTGAAAGTAACAGCGAAAAATTCAGCAGCACCAAATTATGCGCGCTCATTGCATCTGAGAGTACGGAAGCTTCCTATGTGGAACCAAGAATTAAAAACACAAAGTGGAAACGACAAGAGTATTTCACAGGTTATAACATATGTACAAACAAATTGGCTCGACAAAAAAAACCTCTCTACCGACTTCATTTCATTCTATGAAAAATAAAATGAACTGTTATTGGAATAAAACATACTTTCATGGGAAGGACGTATCTGCATACCTTCTATTTCGCAATCAGAGGTATCAGCTATGTTACACGACGGTCATTCAGGCATTATTTTCATGCAGTCACTGGCAAAACTGCACATTCATTGGCCGAATATTAACATCGACATCATTTATGGAGTAGAAACACGTATTTTATATCAACAGTCCCGAAAAAAGGCAGAAATACACCACTACATCCATGGGATATATCCGCAGATCCTTGGTTTCGTCTTCATCTGGACTTTGCAAAACCTTTTGCAAACAGGATTCAGGTTTACCAATGGGCTCACCCTTTAATCCACTTTTAGCAGACAGCTTGGAGACCACTTTAGTAAATTTCGAACTGGGTGAAAAACATATTCATTTTTGGTACAGATATGTAGATGATATTCTCGCCTCTCTCAGAAATACTAGACGACAGCTGAAACAATTTATGATATTCATGAATAATCTCAATTGCAACATTCAGCTCACTCTCGAAACAGAGATAGAGAAACAGAAAAAATTTGTGTTTAATGTCTTCAGAAATCCTAGCTATACAGACATTACCATCCCAAGCGATTATATCCATCCAGACAGTCATAAATTAGCATCCTACAATTCAATGTTCCCACTGCCTTTGTCTGCTAACAATCTAGCGGGTGCAACCTGTAAAATGATCAAAACGATTTAGTTCACTCACCGGTTTTCAAATTAGCATATCCGCATTGTACATGCAGGTACTCAATTAAACCAAGTACCTCTATTATTACCTATAGAGGTACTATATAAGGTCTAATGTAAGAAACAATTGTTAGTTTAATGTATAAGTTTGAAAATTTCCTTATAGAACGAAACTGCAGTAACGTTAGTTACAAATTAAAGTGGTAAAAAAAATAGAAAGTTTCAATTCTCTTTCGTTCATTATGATTTCCTACCAGGTAGTAACGGCTACATCTATCAATTTACATCTAAGTCTACTATAGACATTCTCCGTTCGATATTTGCTAGACTGGGTTTATCCAAGTTCTTGGTGATTGATAATGGACCACAACTCACCTCAAGCGAATGTGAACATTTCTGCAAAGAAAATGGAATAATACCTATTGAAGTGACCCCTTATGATCCGAAATATAATGGGCTGGCACCTTCTGGCCTGTTCGCACCTTCAAAGAACGAATGCGAACCAAAATCTAAATCAATCACAAAGACTTGCAAGTTTTCTATTTTCCTACAGAAATACCATAAGGAAATCGACAAACAGAACACCAAGTCAATTAATGTTCGGTCGGCATTTAGGAACCGGATGTAACTGAAAATATGGAGTTAGATCAAATCATTCGAAAACAAAACCATGACTATTCAGGTGCTCCACTGCATGATTTTACGGAGAAAGATGATGTATGGGTAAATAGGCTTTTAGAAAAGGATTCCGCGCCGGGAAAAGTTGTTAGGCTGTCAGGGCCATTGTCATATCTCGTGGATGTTGATGGTATTCTACGCCGCAAATATTGCAATCAAATGCGAAGAAGAATCTCAGAAGCTCCTTTACGGTCGAGCCTCGAGATGACCAATTACCAAAAATTATAGCAGAACTACTACGTGATAATATGACTAATGTGTCGTTTACTTCGGAAAAAATTAAAAATCATTTATTGAATATTAAATCGAATTCATCTCCTGGTTTGGATCCATCATCGTAGAAGATATGTAAAAATTTTTAACAAAAAACGCAATCATACCTCCAGAACAACATGGTTTCGTCAAAGGTAGATCAACCACCAGCAATCTACTACAATGCATGAACGATTGGACGACAGCTCACGATAGGAAAATACCGACAAATATCGTTTATCTTGACTTTGCGAAGTCTTTTGACAGGGTCCCAGTGAGGAGGCTAATGCACAAACTTGACACACACGGTATTCGAGGCCAACTAAACCTATGGATTGAAAATTACATGACAGATAGAACTTCATTGGTCAAAGTGGGTCACTCTTTTTCTTCGCACAGACAAGTCACAGCTCCAGAGACCTGTTCTTGGCCCGCTCCTCTTCGTTGTTTATGCAAGTGATCTTGCTCTTCACATAAAGTCCAGCAAGTCGTTCTATGCCGATGATACTGAACTGTATGGAAATGCCTTAGTCGAACATCATTCCCTTCAAGAAGAACTCAACTCGATTAGTTAGTAGTGCGAGGATTGGCTTCTACCTCTAAAGGTCGACAAATGCGTCGGTACTTCATCAAGGAAAGAACAATCCACTCCATACGTACACAATAAGCGGTCAATCATTACGTACAGTGTCCTCACATGTAGACTTGGGAGTGACTATTAATACCGACTCAACTTGGTCCGAACATATATCCACATGCAAACGCGCAAACACACTGATTTACCTCATCCGCAAAACGTTCCTCCATCTATCATATTCAAGTTCCATAAAACTCTACAAAACCTACGTTCGTCCAATCATGGAGTATGCAGGTCCAGTGTGGTGTCCTGTTCTGGTGCGCGATAGGGACGTGTTGGAAAATGTACAGCGTCGAGCCACACGTATGACTTTTGGTGAAGTGCGTCCAACCTATCCCTAAATACTGGGGATGGCACAACTGCTAGGTTTTGACCAACGTCGACTCCGTGGGGACCTCATCATATCTCTCCATATAGTTGAGTATAACTATACTAATCAGAAAGAACTTTTTGTTTTCAACAATGATTCCCGGTTACGTGGTCACACACTCAAATTAAAAAAGAAAAAATTCGCAACAAGGCAGAGACAATATTTTTTGGTGAATCGTATTTTCGAAACATGGAATAACTCACTCAACGATGTTATGAATTACGACTCAGTGAACAGTTTCAACAAAATAAACATTTGCTTATTTGCTTAATCGGCTCTATGCATATATTAATTATTTTTCTTTTCTTTTTGCATGCATTGTATTAACTTTGTGTGTAACAAATTTTTTAGATCAATCTGTCAACAGAAAGGGGGTCAAACTTCAATTACTAAATTTGACCCAAACGAATAAAAGAATAGATAACAAACAAACAAATATACAGGGTAAGCTCAATAAGACCATTGAGTGAAAATAGACAAATATGCACGTGTCTCACTTTTTATGAGGCCAGCGTTATTAACTCTGTATGGCTTCATATATCCTCATTACTCATATTTATTCTGATTGATATATGAATGTGAATGAACAACTTAACCTTCTGACGTTATGAATTGCATTGAAGCAACTCTGAATTTTTCAGATTTTCGACAAAATGAAGGAAATATGCCCCAATTATCGACAAAAAATCCAACTGGTTCAAGGTGATTGCTCCGTGAGTGGACTCGGGCTGGGAACGTCCGACAGACAAATGCTCATATCAAACACAGATATAATTTTCCATTTGGCGGCTACAGTTAGATTCAACGCTGATTTGAAAACTGCCTATCGCATAAATGTATGCGGGACGAAAGGTCTGATTCTTTTGGCGAAACAGATGGGAAACCTGAAGGTGAATAACATTTTCATTAGTTCATTCTCAAGTTTCAAAATAGATGCCTGCATCGCAGATTCTGTCAATTTCTTATGAGTACACGGATAATTGCAAAATAATTTTTTCGTATAACATTGCAGTATTCTTATAAAAGCTTCATAGCTAGTTTCTGATTTAACGAATTTTTTCTTTAAAAACTTCGGGGAAATAAAAGGACATTTTGAATTTTACATTCGATATCAATACCTGAGTGTTGTAAATTGTAGTTTACACTGACTAACTGAGTTTGAGCTTGTGTGTTAATTTATATATAATCTTCCATCAGAAACTTCCGAACTTTGACAATTAATAACGATCAGTTCGTTGAAGCTACATCTGTCAAATTAGTTGTCATTTATTTAGTCTGTTGTGCCAAATCACCATGGATCGATATAGATGATATCAATGTGGCTCTCGTTTCGGACTTTCGACCCACCTATTTCTTCCCATTCAATGGAAAGTACTACTGCTGCATGGTCTCATTTAGTTTTCCTCCGATCTTTTCATGACTTCTACTTCAAGAATCTTGTTTCCTGCATTGTTCAGGTCCTTTGTTGAGTGGTATTTATATAACTACTTCTGGAATCATTTGTGGTTAACCGCATATTATTCAATTCCTGTGATCCAATTCCTCACTGTTCCCTTTCCTTTTTTTATGATGAAATCTCTATTATCGAGTACTATTTCAACTCCAACTGACCTCCCTGTAAATTCAGATCAGGAGCGAGTCTACAGAGGAGATGGATGTCGATCTTACGACTCCAACTAACCTCCCTGTAAATTTAGATCAGGAGCGAGAGCTTCTCAACTCTCCAGCTCCTGATTCAATAACTGAACCTAAAAACAAGGTTCATGGTGCAGTCAGGAAACGACTGAGCCGTCTCCTCGAAAGCGGGGTATCTTATGAAACCGCCTTGCACCAAATTCTTGAGCGGCGTACGCAGAATCTATCTCAGGTGGAGGAACAAATTCCCCATGAGCAGGTGAGCTAACTTTGCGCTCAAGTGATGATTCACCAAAACCAGAGGCGAAACAGCCCTGCACGGTTGAATCTAACGCATCGTCAGGTGTAGCTGATGTATAAAAACCCTCATATGGGAAGGTTGTCGCGGGTATCAAGGTGTGAATCTTGCACCTTGACTATTCGACTACCTCATTAATGATGAAACAGCAGAATATATACTTTGTGTCTGCCCCGCTGGGGACCAAATTAGGTTATTAGAGTTCGGCAGAGCCGTACTCTTACCATCTGACCTTAAAGACCACTTACATACAAACTGATCGGCTTCGTTAAGAAGTTGGGTTTATTTGGTCGATTGTGAATAGGTGTCAGCCACAATAAACCCTTGCGGATTGCGGTGGACCTAACCTAACTATTTCATCCAGGTGAGGTTGAAATGTTCTCTTCTGAGAACGGCTATCGAATCAGTTATTTACTTCCCTCCACAAAATATTCTACAAGTTTGTTTCATTTCCTATAATTTCAGACTGTTCTTCACAGCATTTCGAGACCAGTCTTGAGTTCATCAATACCCCAAAATCATTCTTATTTAAGAGAAAAACATTCAAGAATGAAATCAGAGATTTTGGCATCAGGATCTTGAATGATTTCATTTCAGATAAATGTAATGACGAGATATCTCGTATTACAAATGATATCAAAGAAAGAAGCAAGAGGTCTGCTTATACCGCACGAAGGGAAAATTTACATAGAATACCATTCTCCAAATAGTTAGTATTGAAGTAACTAATTATCTTTCAGAAGAATTGAAGGGACTGATGCGTCACATATAGCATGGTGCTTTCTGTTGCTTCAACTTCCTCCTCAAACTTTTATGACAGAAGCTTTCTGATGATTGTTATAAAGTAAAATGAAACGGGGAACATTCATTTTAGATTTTTTTCGAAATCATATGGACCTTGACTTATCCTCTTCAGAAAACACTAGCACATATTATAAAATATTAAACTGCTTGATTTTCATATATTGTGATTGGCGTTTATTGTTTCAGAGCTTCGTACACGTGTCTACTGCATATTCAAATTTCCCTGTGAATTATATCCAAGAAAAACTCTACGATATGCCAGAATCTTTGGAAGAGATGTGTCAAACAATTGAAAAACTTGATGAAGATTATATAAACAAATATACGGAAAGGTAAAATCAATTACTCTTTCTGTATGCATTCATAATATTAGTGGAAGTAGGATTACCAATGCATTTTACTCCATTCTTTTCAGTTTTTTTTTGCTGATGCTATTCAATATTGTATAAGTGGGTACCTATTGACTGACTGACACTTATATTACCGAACAGCCGAACCTACTGATTCAGGTAGGTTTTTTGTATAGAGTAAATGAACATCAAGAAAGGGAATCAGGAATTCACCCCAAGGGAAAAAATAGGGGTTCAAATATTGTATTGAATTTCGTAAGTTTTTAAGTTAGAAACCTGAAGTTTTGGGTTGATGAATAAATATTGTAACTATTTGCTTGAAACGGTCTGTCACGAAACTTAATGTGACAAACCACATTCTACGCGGGCCAAAATTAACCATCTAACGGTAAATTATTTTCATGTTTCAGTATGTAAATTTTATTCATATCATAAATTGAATACACAGTAATTGATCGAAGACCAGTGAACTCTTCTGGGTGATTTATTTCAGGAAAAGTTATAATTTTGAGGATTTCCGTTATGTGGAAAAAAATTCATTAATACACAAGTATTTATTAAGTAAGCAATGATAATGATATTCAATGCATCGTCACCAAATATTTGGAATATTCTGAATCATATCTTAGTGGTTTCAGAAACAAAATCTACTTTTGGTGGTCATAATAATGAATGAAACCATTTGTGTGAAAAATACCTTACGCAGTAATTCATCGCGTTGACCTAAAAAGTTTTTATTTTTCAAATGGAATGTGAAAATATCCAGGTTGGGCTGGATCTTGACACAACTGAAGAAGTTATTGTACACAGAATCATAGTTTTTCAAACTGTTGAAACTGTCTTACAAAAGAGTGTTATCAAAATCATGTTCCAAATAGCCTTGAGTTATATGTAACCATATAACTCACAGATGACAGAAGTCAAAGCAACAATGAAGATTCAATGATGGCGACCAGTACCTAACTTCAATAGAACTGGAGGTTAGGTTGAGTTATTATCATCATTGAGCATAGAAGGAAATCAGGAATTTGGTCAATCTTGTTCGATTGTTGAGGTATTCATTTTGTGGAAATTCATATTAATTATATGATAGAGAAAATAACTTTTGTCGAATTTCTACTGGGATTGTCATTTGTTACGACTGCAATTTATTTAAAAATGACCGAAACCGTTGATAGACACAAGTTATTTTCTCTATCATATATTTAAATTGGCCAATGGAGCACTTGAAGATTATTCAAAAAATATATCTGAGAACACTAATGGAAGATTTTTTTTAAATTCACCTATGACAAAAGAACTGAAAAACTGAAAACTGTACATTCAATGGAAACCTGAACAAAAAAGACTGTCTTGTTTCACAGGCAATGCAACAAAAGGACAGATACTCTTTCGCAAATGTGAGATATTGAATCACAGGAAGAAACCAATTCATGGTAAATCGAATTGGGAATGTGTCATGAAAAGTTGAAAGCAAAAATGCTATAAGCTAATTCTGAACTTTCCTGATACCGCTCACATGCAGAAAAACCATGCAGTCGTCCTTACACAAATATCAAACTGTGATCAAAATTGATCACACAATATTGATCCATAATTGTCATTAAAATCAAAGCTATCATCGGTATATTGAGGATATATTTTCCAGTTCTCAAAACAGTAGGCACTTTCATTGTAAAATTCTTTATTTTCTATAACACGAGTACAATATTCCTTGAATCTCTTTCAAATTGAGTTTAAATTTTTCATAAAATTGACTAGCTGGCGAATACTAACTGCATTCGAAAATTGAATTTCGAATATCGGAAAAACTCATAGCCTAATGTAATTATTAACATGAAGAGGATGTTCATCATAAAAAAAATCCCACTGTTATAGTATGTATCCATAAATCATCCTGTATATATACTTCCACTTTTATTTGTGTGATCACCTTTTCAAACTGTCTACGATGTATACGCATCAGACTTTATTGTTTATTATATTATTTAAATTGAATAGGGGTATCTTTTTAGGAAAGAATAATATTGAAAAAAAAGGTTTTGGTATTCTACTTATGCATCATTCTACAGAAAAAGAGGGAATCTCCCAAAGAAAGGAAGAAACTTATCGAATGCTTAATATACCTTATTTTACAATTTAAAGTACCTATATTTCAAGTACCTGAGCTTTACCTGAGTTTGTAATGAAGTAAATTACCTGAGCTTATGTCCCAGCTTTCACATTTGGAAAAATATTTAGTAAGGGGGAATTATTCAATTCTAAATGGTCAATCAGTGAATCAATCAAATTCTTAAATCTATTGATTTCTAAACATTCTAGAAGATTCAGTTTCAAACTCTTCTCTTCTGAATGTAACACTTCGTATTCACGATTGAACTCATGTGGTTTGCAAATGTTGAATTGTTCTTTCTATTCATAAGACTACTTCTATGCTATCAATTTGAATCAATTTTATAAGAATTTCTGAGATTTTAACGGTAGGTGTCGTTACAAACGACACCACAAGTCTAATCGGGAAATTGTTTACCCAAATTCAAGTTGCAATAACGTCAGTTATAGGACATTGTCATATTTGGGCGAACCAACCAATGGTTTTTTGAAGAAATAATGCGTAAACGTAGCTTATAGATCGAATAGTAGTCTAAGTCAATTTATTAAAAACGATAAAGACAAAGGTTGGGTGTCGGATAGATCAGGAGTATATAAGCTGACTTGTGGCTCTTGCCCAAAACTGTATATTGGCTAACCAGGGAAAACATTTTTCCAAATAATTAAAGAACATAGAAGTGGTTTTGTAAATAGAAAGACCAATTCCACATTTGCAATCCACCTTTCAGCAGAAGAACATGAGTTCAATTATGAATACGACGTGATACACTTAGAAGAGGAGAGTTTGAAACTTAATCTTCTAGAATGTTTAGAAATTAATGAATTCAAGAATTCGACTGATTCACCGATTGAACAATCAGAAATCAATAACTCCTCATTACTAAATATTTTTTCAAAAGTGAAAACTAGTACATAAGCTCAGTTAGTTTAATTCATTACAAACTCAGCTACTTGAAATGTAGGTACTTCAAATTGTAAAATTAGGTTGATTGAATATTAATATAGTTAGTTAAGTCACGCCCGAATAAGTCATCGTCTGTCGAAATACGTGTTGCGTATTTGTAGTACTGTTTAGTGAAAATCTCACTTTAGTTATGGATTTTCATCAAATATTGGCCAATTCCATCATGTATCAAAGAAAGAAAGCCAATAATTTCAGAATGAAGAAAGATATGTAGATCATGCAAAGAAGTAACTTTTACTTTCATATAAATACTGCATTACACGAAAGAGGAATACTTTCGAAATAACTACACTTTTCACAAAAAACACTTTTTCCTTTTCAGTTTGTACTCTAACATTCCTAATGGAATTGAATCAAATATCATTCACAATATTGCTACACAGAATATTACATATTTCATTACTTATCAAGAGGATATCGTAAAATTAAATAATATTTCATCATAGGAAAAGATGACTTGTCATCAGGTAGAGAAATGGGTATCCCATCCTGAAAATATGTTTGGGAAGAAAATATTCTTGATTTTAATTTGCTCTTCAATTTTCCAACCACAGACACATTAGAAGAATTATTTTTTGAAATGCTTGATATGTATTATAACTTATTTGGTCTAAACTAATGATTTCGTCTTTCTCAGAATAATCGAACCATGGCCCAACACTTACACATTTACAAAAGCCATAGCAGAAATGGTTATCAAAAATGGAGCAGATCAACTACCAATAGGGGTGTTCAGGCCATCTGTGGGTGAGTTTATTAAATATGACAGAAGGAGTCAAAACACCACGAACTACAACAATTATTCCAATTCGAAATATTGTTATAAAATACATATAAAATATCCTTATGATTGTTCAGCTCCCATCCCCTATCATTCTTTAAGTCGAAGCGAGAATAAAACCTTCTTTCCTTCATATCCTTCGGATTCTAATTTGTAAACGGGAACCATCAGTGCTGATTGAGTCACATCAGTGAGGTTGAATGTCTTTCAACTCCAGAAAACTTGACATGAAAGTATACACATCACCAGAAAATACTCAAAATTTTATTTCACAAAGATGTTGATTTTTTGGTAAAGAAAGGTTTTGGTTTTCTATTTCTGTATCTTTTTACAAAAAATGTGGGAATCTTCCAAAGAAAGTGATTAATTTCGAAAATGGACTCTTCACAAAGATGGTAGATCANCTCATAGTCAGCTATATATTTTGGCTACGGAGGTTGGGGATGGAAAAAAAGGGATATTGAAAAAATTTGGAAACTGTTTTATTTTCAAACAACAAGATCTCATGGAAATGAGAAAATTTCAAGAATGCTGTTTCAGTCACATTGTTTTTACCAAGATATGATGATATGATTGACATTCTCTTATGGTTCAACAGTTATGCCTACGTACCGAGAACCCATAGCTTCTTGGACCGACAATCTGAACGGACCTTCTGGAATATGTCTGGGAATCATCAAGGGGATATTGAAACTAGGGCCCTGTGATCACAATGAAAGTTTGGCAGATCTAGTCCCAGTCGACATGTGCGTCAACGGTTTGTTAGCATCTGCCTGGGATATATCAGCGAAAAGAAACTCTAGGTATATTCTATATATTCTATTCTATATTTCTTCGAGAACTTCAAGAAACCTAGATTTTTTTCAATGAAAATGTAGTAGTAGTGTTATACAGTGTATCCATAGCAAGGAGGGCCAACATCGGTGTCTCGGGGTAATATCGGAAATCTATAATATAACGTTTATTGGATTTGAAGTTAATAGTAAAAACTATTTTTGAAAGCAAGCCTTCCTTCACATGCTCTGAGAAGAAAAAAATTAACTTCGAATTGAATCAAACACAGCAATTTATTACGTTACCCCAATGTTATGAAACCTATTTTATAAATAAACACATGCTTTTTTTAGGATTACTTATGTCAAGATCAACTTATGTCGTATTCTCATTTATCTAGATCTAGACAATTAAATCTCGCGTCAAGCTTTCATATCATACTCATTATGTAACGTAATGAAGTCTGTTTCCAAAAATGAAATTCACTTTGATATTAATTCATTTTTATTTTTTTTTTCATCACTGGACACTTTCCTGAGTCTATTCAATAGGTATTTTTTACGGTTGCTCCTTACAATATTTGTTCGAGCACTACCAAAATAACCCTGACCTTTACCCAGTTATGTCTCGGCATAGGTCAGGGTATGACTGCCATCTTGTCTTTTGCCATTTTAATTGTTTTCCTTGAACCCACCCTTTTTTATACATACATATTATGAAGGTGCGTGAAAAAATAGTGCTTCTTTGGCAGTCTGCTATATTGCATTCAGAGTGACGTCATTTTATTTATCGTATCATTTTCAGCAAACTCTTCCAATCGATACCCATATGATGGAGCTAATCATGTATTGTCATCTGTACGCATAACTTCAGCTCAATCGGTTGAGAATAACTGCTTTGAAATTCAGTTTCAAGATTTGACCCAAAATAACATGTTGGGCTGAAAAGTGGGCTAACATAAAAAATGTATTTTTTTTGATGAAATTTGATTTTATTATTGCCTCGAGGGCCATTCACGGATTATAGCGGTCATACAATTTTTCGAGCATTCTCTTGCGGTCCGGGAAAAGCAAAAAGTCGCTGAGGGCAGATCTGGAGAATAAGGTGGATGCGAAAGCAATTTCAGGCCGATTGGTGCAATTTTGCCATTGTTTCCATTGATTTGTGACATGGTTGTTATCTTTATGGAACAGCATTTTTGTTTCTTCAGATGGGGTCGCTTTTCCGCGATTTCACTCCAATAACGCTATTGGGAACTATCGGTGTTGATGCTTTTTTTTTCTTCAAAATAGTCGATGAATATTATACCTTACGCATTCCAAAATACTGATACCATAACCTTGCCAGCCGAATGTTGCGTATTTGCATGCTTTGGAGTCAGTTCACCACGTGCAGTCCACTCAGATGATGATCGTTTTGATTCTAGTGTGAAATGATGGAGCCATGTTTCATCCATTGTCACATACCGAAGTGATAGTTATGGTTATTCATAGTGATACAGCTTCAAAAATTGCTCAGAATCATCAATTCATTCGAACAGAGCTTTCATATACTCAAATGTTCATGCACGATATGTCCAACACGTTCCTCTGATATCTTTAGAGTTCCAGCTATTTGGATAAACGCCACTTTGCGGTCATCCAAAATTATTTTGAGAACATTTTTATATTTTCGTTTGTAACAGTCTCTTTGGAGCTGCGTGCACATTTTACCACGTTTAATCTCAGCAAACCACTTTTCAACGGTGCAAAGTCAGAATAATGTTTATCAAGCCGAGACTTGCCTTAAACACTATTTGTTTTCCACCAAAAAGGTGATGTTCCATTAAATTATTTCTTATCCATTTTCTTGAAACTAACAAAAGTTGTTTCACTCAAAATTATGTGTGTTATACCTACATATCATGAAGGTGCATGGAAACATAGGGCTTCTTTGGCAAACTGCTATATTTGTGTGTTAGCCTCCAAACTCTTCAGTCCATCATATAAACATTGCGAGGTCGCTTTATTCAATAAAGCGGCCTTTTAACAAGAAACCATGGTTCAATAAAAGTTGTGAGGAAATCGTCTTGTGCAAAAATTTTGCCAATCGAAAGAGGCAAAAATTCCACTACTGAAATTCGTAACAGGTTTGTCAATAGTCGCAACAAATTAGGCATGAACGAAGACAAAACTACACAATCAGAGAATAAGAACAAACTGCTTTGCAGATCAAATGATAGTAGATTTTTTCGTTAGAGGTTATTGCCATCGGCCAATAGTTCAGCCATCATTAACACAAGCAAAAAAGCAAAATCAACTTGCTGATCAATTCGCATCTAATTGCAAAGTTGATTTTTAGGAAAACACAACACAGTATCAGTACTGTACATTCAACAATGCGGGATATTAATTTTCTATAAATAAGTATGTGAGTGGCTCTATTCGACCTCTCATGGCAACTCCCCGTTTATTGTGGTTCAACCTCAATCAAACTCGACCAAATAACTCCAGCCTACCAAAAAAGCAGATTACTTCATTCGGTGAATGTTCTTCAACGTCAACTGGGTAGAGTGGTATTATGATAAATGCTGTAAAAGTTATTCGGTCAAGAATAATACACTTCGAAGTTGACAGACCAGGGAACATGTTTCTCAATCTACTGAGGGCCTGATTGTCAGTCAATCTGTGGCAACCTTCTGTTGCGCATTTTAGGGAGACGCCCCTCCTCAATGACTGTGATCACCATCAGTAACCACCAACCAGGAGATGAAAACTGTGGTCATCTTGGCCGGAATGTTCAGCTTCGGAATTGTGCTTGTGAAACATCTTCTGGAATATCCTCTACAGCACCCATAATGCAAGGCAGATTCATAACATATCCTCTTCTTGCGGAGGAGGCTATACTACACAGTCTCCTGTTTTTGTTAACTAGATTAAGAATTGAAAAGCTGAAACATTTTAGTCCAAAGTTACAGAGGGGGCAGTTCGGGTCGTTTGGAGAACGTCCATCGTTTCTATAGAGTCAGTGAGGGTCAGATTTTTGGTTATCCCGTATCATCATAATAAGGTTTTCTACAAAGACCCCGATATCTCGAAGGTTCCGTAACTGACACTGAGTGGGTTCAGAGTCATACTTCTTTACACGGATCCACTCACCTTAGCATGAGGCTGTCACAAAGTAAGACGCTCACCTTTACGGGTGACACCTAACGCAGTAGGAGAATTTTAACGCCTTCAGCTGCAGGGCGCTACCGATTATTGTACCTAAAAAATGAACTGATAAAGTTTCTCGAGTGTTTCATAGTCTCTTCAGCCTTTCCTGTAGAAAAGGGATTTTGTATCGTATTGGTATGCCGCTCGAGCTTGGCCTCCACCAAAAGATGGCAAAAACATTTTTCCAAATACCAAAGGTTGGGTTGAAAAAGAGGGGCAAATATGTGCATTTCTGTGCATCACATCCAGCTGATACCTAGCTTTTTTCAAATATACATGACCTTAGTCCTCCTGGATGTTTTTATTGTATATTTTTCATTATGTATTTTCAAATTGAGGCATATTGTTATATTCATTATCAAATATAAACTTTCTCATCAGCACTATTGTTATATTCTCCAAGAATGGAAACATTTGAGTAATTCACAGTGACTTTTGAGTCTAGTTAGTCTTGATTTCAGTGTTTGACCTGTGTATGTTTGTGGCAGGTACCACATTCTGCACCACAAACTACCCTCGACCCCAGCATGATTCCTTTATATTTTGATTTCCTTTATTGTTTTATATACATTTCTTGTCTGTTAGAAATGTTTAGAATGAAGAAAAACTTTTTTTTTTCAGTATTCCAGAAACTACGCCCGTGTACAACTATGTCTGCGGCGCCGATAAGAGCCCCATAAGATGGCGCGAATTACTGAAGATATCGGCAGTCTATGGAAGAAAATACGTGGACAATTCTGCAAATATATTTGTCATATTCACAAATTTTGCCATCTGTCACTGGGTTCTGGACATGGTCTACCACATTATCCCCGCATTTTTCATGGACATGTTTCTGTTTCTAAGAGGAAAACGTATGAGGTATGAAGAACTGAGTACTACAGAATGAATCGTAACACTTTTCAGCTTTCAATGAGAAAATTAAGTGCAATGAAATGGTATACGTAGTCGTTTTCAACTTTGAAGTTGAAGTTTCAACTGAAAAATATGAAGCAGATGCTTGTATTTTTTCGTGATTTCACAATTAACTTCACAGATAGAGATGAATCGGATCACTCATTATAATTTATGTCTGTTCCTATTCGAACGTTTCCAGTACGAACAGTGTTGGATTGTTTGAGTGGACTGTACTCAAATGATAGGTTTGGTTCTGTTATATGTATGTTTATTGGAAATTCTACAAATATATAAAATGGCTTATCTTGAGAGGTCATGGTTATTAGGAGCTGGACCTAATTGACTCGTTATGTCTAATATAGATTACATCTGTCTCGGAAAATATTTATGTTCCAGAGATCCTTTTGTGAAACACATGTACGTTCACATCTTTCAGGTGTGAAATTTTGCTCACATATGGATAGCGATGATGAAATCATCATTGGAAAGTTCTTCTGATACAACTGGGATTTGTGTCGAATGTAGACCCCTTTTCTGGTCTTGTATGGCCACTTCCAAATTCATATTTGTAAGCTAGTTCTCACACTGTCAGATTACTATCCACTCCGGAGATTCTTTACTGAGGTTCAATTGAGTCATCGAAATCCTTCACTTCCAAACTTTTGCCTCTCATCACATTCACTTTGGTTTTTCTCTTTGTGGGCGGAGGATGCGTCATACTATATCAAGGAATCTATCAGTTCTCAGGTCTTAAATAAAAGAATCGTCTATACGGGCAGAAGCAGGTGATATTATTGAAACAGCAATAGTAGGCTTATTGTCAGACAACTTTTTGAAGACCTGATATCAACACAAAAGTAAAATATCACACTTTTTGAAATTGAATACACCTTTTTCTTCATTGAGTGCATCTTGAAACTTCTTTAGTAGCAAGTCAGGTGTATAGGCATTCTTAAATAAACATAAAACAAAGAAGTCAAATTAAAAATGTAATAATATTAAGAAATGCAGGGGTTGCCTGCAGTGAAAAGTAGTGACAGGCATATTGTCCTGGACGATCTCTGGGATCATTATCCTCATCAGGATCATGCTCGTTGAAGTTTTTTACGCTTACACTAGAGTATTTATGAAGTCGGAATCTCAAAATCATGAAAATGCGTCAAATAGACAGTTTCAAAACGGAGTTGAATTAAGTAAAACCACGATAGCCTCGTGGTCATAATTTCTGCTGTCCGAATTTGTGAAAAGCTGGAAAGTGTAGCTAACCCCTCAATCAATGCAACTACTTCATATTTTTTATAATTTCATGAAATTTCATTTTTACTGAATCTGCGGTTTCGATTCTTCCCGTTTCAGGGTATTTTCTCAAGCCAAATTTGCATGGTACTAGGCGTATGCTATCGAATCTAATCATACTTCCAACAATGTAGAATATCATTCAAATAATTATTCTTGAAAATTACAGGCTTCTGACAACACACAGAAAAATTCGAAAAATGTTTATCCTGCTATCGCCCGTCTACACGAATACATGGAACTTTGATAACGACAACATTACTCGGCTGTGGAATAGAACAAATGAAAGAGACAGAGAAGACTTTCCTTTTTCATTACAAGATGTAAACTGGAATAATTATTTCGCAAGTTACATAAGAGGACTTAAGGAACAATTTCACGTAAAACCAATCAATTTGTCACACTGGTAAGTTATTAAAATACATTTCTTTCATTGATGTATCTTTCGAAGGGATAGTATTTTGAAAAACCACGATAGTCAAAGTCAAAATATGCTTTATTGTCTGAAGATTAACATCTTATTGACAAACCTTTGTTAAAATAATTGGAGAAACAAATTCCCACATAGTAGCTATCGCTACTTGTCAGGTTATAATTATTTGAGTAATGTTCTCGATAACTATACACTATAAAATGATATACATTGGCAGGTAGTTGTTGAATGAAATTTCAGGTAGTTATTGAACATATGTATCTACAAAGAACAAAAAAATAACAAAAACAAAAATACATCACTTGCACGAATATAGCCAATAAGAGTTTATTTAAAGTTTACGTTATTGCATGCAAATTTCAGATTTTATGGTAGGTGATTGAACATTTTCAACCCATTATAAATGAATGGGTCTTTAATGAGGCAATATTTCGGAATGGGCGAATTAAAGTCGTTTCTTTATCGAGTGGCGTTTGTGTTAATTGGAAATCGATTCTGATGTTTTGCTATGAGACATATAGTTTCAATAATAAAAATAGATATTACAGTGAGGATTTTCTTTTCCTGTTTCAACTCAATCATAAAAATATTAGAGAGGAAGAAATAATAAATGCTGCAATGTATTTTGCATTGAACGGACACATCAATCCTTGATCATCATCTGAGAGTGACCAATTTTGAGAGTTTTTTGGTGTCCAAAAAAATTAGAAAGAAGATACAGTCTTCAGTAATTTTTTATGCATGTTTATGGGGAAATGCACGGAATTCATTTTATTAGGTGACAAGTCTTAACGAGCGCAAATATGTTTTGATCATTTTATGTGTGTTTTTTTGGCAACCAACTACCAAAAGCAAGAGCATTTTTGTTTTTCGTGATCTGAGATCATGAAAAAATAGTTCTGAATGAATCGTCAATTCAGAATATTATAAATTTCTCATTTTCAATATCAGTAAGACGGATACATTGAAATATTTTCCACCGTCATGTTGAAAACTATATAATTATCATTGATTTCTTTCTTTGAATAACAAGAATCAGTATTCCACATTTGCCAGAGGAAATAAAGACGTTCAAATTCAGTGACAATGCTATTTCTAGAACAACGTGTTTTACGATTAGTATCTGGAGAACGTTCTTTTCGCTGAACTACACGGCCTAACGAATATAGAAGAAATCTATGAAATAAAAATTAATTGAAACAGATATCATTCCATTCCATCCAAATATTCATTGCGAATTTTTGGAGAACAGACTGAATGAAAAAAGTATTTTTCAGGTAATTCAGAGCCCATATGAGTGAAGTTATTTCAAAAGAACTTATTCTCTCATATAATTCAATGTTCATGTGAAACTAGTTTTTTGAGAGAACTATTTGTAACTTTTGTATATGATCTTCACATCTTTGTTAGGTGTTCATTGTGAACTCAATTAGTTCCTTCTTTCTTACGCAAATTTCCACATTTTTTTTTATGAAGATGTAGAAGCAGAAAGCCAAAAAGCTTTTTCTCAAAAACTGATCTCTCCAATAAGTATGTTCTCTTTCGAATTGAAAATATAATTGTTTCTCAACCCCGACTGAGCTCTGTGTTTGTATTCAATGAATTTATTGTATTTCATCACACCATTATAAATAATACAATAGTATAGTGTCGAATTTATTTCCTAGGTTTGTGACATTATTGAAGGCAATGACGAATTGATAGGGTTATTCTCAAGGTTGGAGCCTTCGCTTTTGTTTCATTGGAGGTGGCGTTACTTTGTTCCTGTTGGTCGAATTAAATGATATAATGTGGCTACTGTAGTATAGTACAGGCACAAGCACCTGGGTCTCTTCAAATACGATAACGTGGATACCCACTCTGAGTGCTTGTGCTCAGTGAACCCGTTACTTGCACTTCTTTCCGTTGTTCATATGTATACCAATCCATACCCACATAGAATCTGGTTTACTCCGGCATTACCAAAGACCTTTTGGGAGCTTTCACTGACCATAGTCTCTCCATGGTTTTTAGCGATCTGAGAAATGAAAAAAATGCTTTAGAAGTCCTGCTTTAGAAGGGCCCGTTCACTACGTCTATCTGGCCTACCAAAAATTCACAGAATATTCTTGTTACCGAATTGGGTGAATCCTGAAGAAAAATAATCTGAATTTGTTATTCAGGTCTTCGAAATCCATCAGGAAGGGTCTAAAGTCAGCAAATAATCCCAGAGAGCCTTTACCGGAAATATATCGAATCCCTTGTATCTATGGACCGATCTACATTTGATTCACGAAAAGTTTACAAGAGCTCAAAAATTACACTCCTAAAAGTAGGTGTTTCAATTTAACCAACGGAAATGTAGCCACGCTCACTATCAATGGAACAAAACCGGATACTTCAGTCTTAAATGTAGTATACGCTGTGAGGAAAATCAAAGCACTTTGTATGTTCCCTCATCACTCCTGATTCTTTCTACTGCAGTAATAGACAACTCCATGCATAAAACCTGCAGACCATGGTCAACAAACTCGGAAAATAACTTCGACATAGTTATATCCAGTCGTGAAAGTTTACATCATTTAATATATTATTATTATTATTATTTCATTGACTTCATCAATCGTGCAAGAGTGAAATGTATGCAAACAATCCAAATACTATTATAATCATTTTTTATTTTCCAGGTTTGCTATATTTTGGCAACTTCTCAAAATATTGCTGGTCTTCTTCACTTGCAACACTGTGATTTCCAAATACCAAAGTGTCGCCGAGATAAATTACTAGTCTCAAGGTTACCTATTTTTTAAATATTAACTTATTTATTTTTTGATTGTGATAATGAAAATGTATCATGACACAAGGATTCATCAGGAGTGATGTTTCAAAATGAAAAAATATACAGTAGGTATAAGTTTCAAAAGTGTTTTCATTTACCATAATTTGTATATAAATCAAAATCCATTCCTGCATTAAAAACAACTTCTCTTCAAAACAGTCTAGTTCTAGGTATGACTTGTAGTGCATTCCAGATTTTATGTTGACCAATTCTGAGCAAATATTGGATTTGTTATCGTAAATGTGAAACAATGGTGTATAATTAGCGAAACGTCGTATATTTTTTCGAGCATTGCGTCAAGGTGTCATTCTTGCTCAAAAAATCAAACATTACGTCATACATATTCAACATTTGTACAAAAGCTTAGTGAATATTTATGGTGTAATTTTTTATCAGTTCCTGAAAATTATGAACGGAATCATAACTTTAGATTACTTTAGAAGAAAGTGAGTCCTAAAAACTATGTCGAATCAAATCGACGCTATCTTCACTGAATTACGAAAATGGTGGTAGTTTCATCTAATTATCATTTTTACAGTGAAAGCTACAGAGAGATAACAAGCTATCCCATTAACCGATCGATGTTGCACAGTGAGCCGTCATCAACATTTTTCTGAAGTTTGACTTGATGTCGTCATTTTTTCCAAGGAAATATTAAAACTCGAGTTCAGAACTGAACATTTTTCTGAAGTTTGACTTGATGTCGTCATTTTTTCCAAGGAAATATTAAAACTCGAGTTCAGAACTGAATTTCCTAGAATCGATTTTTCATTTCAATGCATTGTGGAATTCCAAAAATACTTCAAGAGCAGAGGCAAAACTCAAATTTTCAACAGAATCTCTATTCTAAATAATAGATGCCGAGAAAAAAATGTCCTGTGAAGTTTATTCAACTTTGAATGTGGAAGAAATGAAATACTTACTGAAATACTGAAAAATGTTTTACAGGTTTTGGTAATGCGGCTTAAAGAACCGTGCCTACTTGACTGTATAGATGGTATATTTCTCACTTTCATGTACTAACCAGAGCCTTCATTTCCATTTTTTTCATTACCAGTAATCAATCAAGATTTTCTTGAAGCTGTTATATCCATAATAATGATAAGTTTGGATGCAATTGAAACGGACAGTTCAATTGATCAAGTAATCATTATTCTTGAACCTTTTACAATTTCAATTATTGGCCTGTCTAAAGAAAAACGAACAGGTTTGAGAACACAAGAAACATAAATCAACAAATTCACAAAAAGTATCAGAAATGAGGAAAACAATACATGAAAGCGTCGCTCAAATAAAAATAAAAATAAAAGGGGCAATGACACACTTATTGAAGAAATGGAACGATCAGCAAATAAGTAGGTTATGATTTCGAGTGAAGAATAGAAACTGAACCTTCAGTTACGAAAATGAATAAATTTGTTTAAATCTGTTTTTCCGTTAACCAGCTGTCGCACCCCTACGAACGACAACCCTCAGAAGTCGAAACTGGTGCAAGCTAAGGATTAACGAGATCTTACGTTTTAACGTGTGATTCCTAACAGCAAACATTTTGGGCAATTACTAACAAAAATTCATAATAACAGTTTATGGTATGATTTTCACTATAAACTGTATTAATGAGTTTGATTGTGGATTTTCATTGAGTATCGGCCAGTTCTATTGAGTACTTAGTAACAAAGTACACCACTTTAAAATGTCTTCATTTCTTGCATAACCTGACTGATTATTTATTCTCCGGTATTTCCTCACTAGCATGGTCAAGTGTAAAAATACGCATAAGTCACGCTATTTGATTTTACTCCTAATCATCGAGATCAAACATTGGCTTCCTCAGGATGTATTACAAAGAGCGCAGAGGTGGACTTCAACTATAAGAAACGAAGAACCGTCCTATACTTATACAAACCTATGAAAGAACGAATAACATTTTACCCTTAGTATGCAGGCTGATCCAAAAATGTACACCATTAATGACTTTATATTTGATGATAAGAGAAACATTTCAATCTGTCAAATTTTAACATCCTCCTAGATGCCAGAAACAAAAAACAATTACTGATATCATTTTTAATTTTTTGAGTGAAATACTTTTTTCAATACGTTGATGTGATATTTTTCTTGTGAAATCCCAAACAATCCTACCAAACAGTTGTTGGACTACAGTAGGGATGAACTACGATATCCAACAGGCCTTCTTACAGATCACTGTCATTTGAATCATCACATGCAGAGACTTGGACTATCGGAAGACAGTGTGTGTCGCCTCTGTCTGGAAAATGATGAAACAGCAGAGCATATACTTCGTGCCTGCCCCGCTGGGGACCGAATCAGGTTATTAGACTTCGGCTGATCCCTACTTTCACCATCTGACCTGAAAGACCACTCACCATACAAACTAATCGGCTTCGTCAAGAAGCTGGGTTTATTTGGTCGAATGTGAATAGGTGTGCGCCACAATTAACCCTTGCGGGTTGCGGTGTAGGGTCGAATAGACCCACTCAGTTTGGACCTAACCTAACCTAACCCAAACAATCCTTGAACGTATGATGCGGAATATGAGATTATATAAACTTATTTCACTAATAGAAATTAAACTGGAGAAAATTATATAGAAATAATAAAAGAAATATTGAATGAACAAAAGATGGCCAGTTGAATGACCTGGCTCTCCTGCATTGAATTTACTAGATATGAGTATGAGTTTAATATTCCATAAAAGAAATTGTTTATGGAAGATAACAAACGATCTATAGAACATCAAGCAATATCTGAGAACAAGAAGAAGTTTCTCAGACAAATTGTGTATTTGTTTTCTCAACGTATACAGGGTATTTATTGAACATGCGGCAAACATTTAAGGAATTATTCCTTGGACATTTTCAAGGATATTTAGTCCTTTGATATAATTTTTGATACGGCGCTTTGCTTTGAAGATACGAAACGATACGACAATAACAATTCATTACCAAAAATTAAATGTAATGTTTCTTAACCTACAAGAACTGTTGAAAATGACTACCCCCTGCTCAAATGCAAGAATCCAATCTTCTCCTAATCAGGATCGTTTCTGATTGTGATACATTCAGCAATAATTCAAGTTTTCAAATCTTCCACATCTTCCACTATATTCGGAATGTTGTTGATAGGTTTTTCGCAGCGTATCTTCGAAACAAAGCTACCTATCAAAAATCATCAAGGAACAAAATATCCTTAGAATAGTCCAAAGAATAGTCCCTTAATTTCTTTCCGTCTCTTCAAAAACATGACAAAATGTAAAGAGTCTACCAAAGGAAACTTGTACGACTCTCATCCCCGATGCTTCGCCCGACGCTTCCCGTTCAAATTATTTATATTACGCTTTAGGAAAAAAGGGCCTACTCAGTTTTTGTAGTTTCGCGTCAGATGAAAAATCGAAATGTTCTCCTTGACTAACTTGACATTATATGCCGTTTTGAATGAAAAAAATCTATCCTATATACGAGGGAGTTTCAAAAGTTTGTGTTCGAGGCATCCTCGGATCACTTGAATAGTGAAACACTTATTGCGGTAGAATCGTCTTGTGTTAGTGGCACAACGGTTCTAACTGAGGTCTTTCAAGTTTCGGAAGTGACTTTTACTTCTCAAATTGAAGATATTAGTAATTATTTCTGAAATATAACGTCATAATTACTGCCTCGACCAGTATCATATGGAATCAATCCCAAAATAATGAAAAACAAGTTCAGAATTTTCAAAAGTCCGATCCTGTTTGCTACCCAACCTTTGTTGATATTCTTGGAACAATAATGCATCTCCTGTTTGCCTAAAAATGAACCATCCGAAGATTCATTAACAGTCATATCCTAAAATCTCAATCACGAACATGATGAATCTCAGTGTTACAATAGCGGTAGTCCTCTTCTTTCTGAAACTCACAAATAGTGAGAGTTCCTCAAAAACTAATGTTTCTAAACAAAAAGGAATCCTCAGTGAATGTGGTGGTGTTTTTACCGAAAAACAGTTTTTTCTACAGTCCCCGAAATATCCTCAAAACTACACCCCAAATCTCAATTGTGACTATTTTTTGAAAGGTCCGGAATGCCCTACGCATTACAAAATTGATTTTCACCATTTTCATTTAGAAAACTCGGTGGGTTGTATCAAGGACAGATTAGAAATTGAAGATCAAGATGCTCTTTGCGGCAGAAAAAATACATCCAAAACATATTTTGCGAAAAACGGGTCGTTGCACTTGAAACTAAAATCCGATAATGATTCATCCGAAAAAGGTTTCAAAATGTTTATTACACGTTCGGATTGTGAAGAGAAATCAATTCAAAGTGAACATACAACTACAAGAAAAAGCATTGATACAGTAAGTACAAAAATGAGTTAAACAACCTTTGAAATTTCATTCAGTATTCAATTAATTTTTTTTCATAAAATTTCATATATATTTCGTATGTATGAAGGTGATCCAATGGAAGTAATATACAACTATAGGAAGAACAGACATAATGGGTATAAAATTTTGTGAGTCAACTATTTAGATTTTTTTCAATGGACAAACAATAGATTTAGATTTTTCACAATCTATTATATATATTCCGATTCATGTTCGTTTCGTATTCATAAAAACAAGTGTGCTTCAGGACCAAATAATATAACATATCATAAATCTATGTGATTTGGAGGCAAAATGCAGATGTAACAATCGACAAACAGCCCCATTTTCAAATCATGAAAAATGAGAATTAAAACTACCTTGAAAAAAGGTCAATATTGTATTCGTTTCAAAATGTCCTTGTAGGTATAAAAACAGTGGTATAAAAACATAGGGTTTTTTAATTCTCATTTTATTATCCCACGCTCCATATTAGCTTCACCTGTATGTATGTATGTTTGTTTTTTTGTAACTCTTAAGCTCTGGATTTGTATTCGACAGAATTATCGACATTATTTCTTGATTTATTCGCGGGCAGATGGCGCTGTTCGTAACCTCCTTTATACAGGGCTTTTCATGATGAGCGTAAACTGTTTCAAACGGAAACTGACGTGGTTTCCTTGTTCATCACTCATTTTTGTAAAACAGATTTCGTTTGATGTTTCTCAATTAGTCACAGATAATACAATGAAAAGATACTGTCATTGCGCGGCTTCTTCAACCTTCTTGGGGTTCCCCCCGTGAAGGTGCACAAGTGAGGGCACTTTCCTGCAGGTGCAGCCGGTTCCTTGCCTTTATTCAAGGCGGAGCTCTTGACGCCCGCCGCAGAAAGTGCCCTAGCTGTTGGAGGTGAAGTGGGGGAGGAGGAGGGTGCACTTATAGTTGCTGCCACATCTGCCTCTTTAGCTCTCTTCCCCCTTTTGGCTTCAGAGCCGCAAATGCGCTTATGCCTTGGCTTTTGTATTACATCACGAGGTGATCTGCTATGTCCAGCCTCATTCCGAGCGGTAGAATGAGATGGACATTTCTATTCATCCCCAGCCACCGCCTTAGATTGAGGTGAGCACTTCTGTTTAGCCTGAGGATTGGTTTTAGTTGTTGTTGTTTCTGTTTTTGTGCTTGTTTCATTCATGTGTGTTCCCACTAATAGCAGAGGAAGAGTTGGTCTCTTCTGGCAAAGCCCTACATTACCAGAGGTAAGCTAATCACAATGAGATTTCGCCAGGTTCTACAAGGGGATCGTTCCTAACCGCGTATCACACTGCGGCCATTCAGCTATCGGCACGAATCCTCACACCTTAGCCTGGAGAGACTGGTTCACGGTGGTATGTTTCTCGAAGGCTTTTAGAGAGTTTTAGTTCCTCTCACCCTACTTATTTCTGCCACTGACCAAGAGTCCGGCGAACCCGTCCGTAATGGCATATTGCCATTCTCTTATTCGCCATCTGGGAACGCGCCCGATAGGTACACCAATCCACAGAGCGCATCTTCAATAATATATTTATTGTTCTTCGAAATACAATCAAAATCAAATTTTACGAAATAAAATGAAAAAACACTTTTTATTCGACGTGCAAATGGCTTTTTGATCAGATTGCGACTTTGCATTCCCATCTGGTTTCCAACAATGCCAAATATTGATATAATTTGATAAGAAGTAATAAATGCTGAGAAAATCTTACTATATATCTTGAAGCAAGTATAATTTTCATCATACATTTCAGAACGAAACTCAACTAGTTCCAGAATCAACTACATTCCCATTTGTACTTCACAATATGCCAAATTTGATGCCTCAACAACCTGAGTGTTGTTCAAACATCTACAACTCAAAAAGGTTTCTCCTAACAAGTCCTGACTTTCCATATAGTCTCAACAGGAAGACCAAATGCAGCATTCAAATCCGAAAGGCAAACGACAATATCTGCAGAGTGAGGATGAACTTTCTCTTTTTTTGGCTAGGAACAACATTGTATAATAACTGTCCGTACGGGTCTCTGGAAATCGATGGAAAATATATCTGCGGGTGCAACAAAGAACTGAAATTAACAACTACTTTCGGTGGCAGCAACCTAAAAACGCTAGTATTCACAAGCGAAGGCATTGAACTCAACTTTCCTTCAGGATTCGTTCTGGAAATCACTCAGGACGAGTGTCCCAAAAAATACTACCCTCAAGCACCTAACAAAGAAAGAAACAATTCACAATTAGTCAGATTTGATGATAACCAGTCAAGTGTAGTGCCAAGACCAAGAGAAGCAACAATACAGCAATTACAGCTCATCAATGAAATAACCGATATAGTGGAAGATGATGGCAAGAACTACTATCGAAATTATCCGCGAATCATTAAGAGCATTTATTTCTTTGCGGCTCCAGACTACTACCCCTTCCCTACGGCACCACAGGACATAGAAAGAACAACCTTCATCGATACAGGAAGCATTAAAAGTATCGTTACAAATCTCAATCAGTTCCAGTGCAACAAGTGGAACCAGATGCAGTTCGATCTTCTGAATGAAAGGTATGGAGGAAATCTGCAAACTTGCAAGAGGGAAAATAAAAACCACCTTCATACCTAGTTCCATGAAAATATTTCCAAAGTTCTTCGTTTATGGGTGGTATGGAACTGAGATATATTCATCTTGGTTTTCGTCGTTTTTAAAAGTCGTATTTATCTCAGTCGTATAAACACCTTGTATAATCACCCCAACAAATATTGCATCCCAACTGATAACGATAAAAAACTAAGTCATATGAAAAATAAATTTTCGTGTAATAAAAAATTGATCATCGTGATTTACTGTGAAAGCATAAAATTGATTTTATTAAAAAAAATGACTTTGTAGGTTCAGGAAACAACCAGGATATTGTTCGATAAGAGTCTTCATGGTCGACTTCAGAATTGAAAATAGTCTAGGCTGCAGAAAAGATTACCTGCTTCTGGAAAATAATAACAGATACTGCGGAAAAAATTTATTCGGAAAATTCAGTGAGTAGAACAAGATAATTCAAATAAAAAGATGTCTACAAGATGTCTACTTTTGGTTTGGTTCACAGAAAATTATGGTTATTATGTCATTCGATACGTGGTTTCACCCACAGTAATATAAAATTTGAGCCAAGTTGAGCAAAACGAAAAGTTTGGAAGTTATGTAAAAGTTTAGTAAAACAGAAAAAAGGAGTTCGTTTTTCGCAAATATCTCAAAAACTATTGAAGATAATCAGAATTTGAAATATTATCCCCAAATGGTAGAAAATCTACTAGAAAATTCTGACGTCTCGAAATCGTGACAGGAATATTCAAACGTACTAAAAAAACACTAAACAACTTCACAAAAACGCAACACGTGTTTCACCATACAATGGCTTCTTCGGGTGTATCTTTACTAACTATACTCTACATATTCAATGCTTCTTATACCTAATTTTACAATTTGAAATACCTACATTTCAAGTACCTGAGTTTTACCTAAGTTTGTAATGAATTAAATTACTTAAGCTTATATAGCAGTTTCCACATTTGAAAATATATTTAGTAACGGGGAGTTATTCAATTCTAATCAACCATTCAGTAAATTACTGGAATTCTTGAATCTATTGCTTTCTAAATATTCCAGGATATCGAGTTACAAACTCTTCTCTTCTAAATGTAACACGTAGTATTCATGATTGAACTCATGTCCTTCTGCTAAAAGATGATTTTCAAATCTGGAATTGATGTTTCTTTTCACAAAACTACTTCTATGCTCTTTAACTCTTTGGGAAAATGTTCTCCCTGTTTGGCCAATATACAGTTTTCGGCGAAAGCCACAAGTCAGCTTATATACACTTGATATCAATTCTGATGTATCCGACACCAAAGTTTTGTTTTTATTGTTTTCATTAAATTTACCTAGACTGTTATTCGTTCTGTAAGCTACGTTTACGCACTCTTTATGATTTTCTACCAAGTAACGGCTACAAACATAAATGTATTGAACACAATATTAGATTTTTTATGGAGTATCTGATTTGGACTTGCCTGAACGATAGTATGAGAGGAATTTTTCAAACGAAAAATTCAAATGTCATATGTTTTCATTAATTGAATATATTAATAATAATCATTGATGCGCCGAATATTCGATTTGTATTCGGTATTCGGTGTTTTTGGCATCTTTTCCACTGTTTTAATTCGGCTGAATCATTCGGTTTTGGTGCCGAATAGAATCGGTTCCAGTACTTCTATGTTCTTGGCCACACAACACGGTATAGACAAAACTTCTTATGTGAGATTTATTTTATATTAAAAGTCAAAGAAAGTCTATGAAGAATGTATTGAATGAAGCTGATAAAATGAAGCAATTGAAATTAAAATCAATATTTATTTTTGAACCTCAAATCAAAACAATATTTTTTTTTAACTTTGATTGAATCTATATTCATTTTTGAACATAAAACCAACTTCTATTGAACCTCAATCAAATCCACATTTTCTAACCTCAAATCGATATACAAATAATTCGGCCGAATATCCAGTTCGGTGAAGGTTTAACCAAATAGTATTCGGTATTCGGTTATTCAGCGCATTATTCGGCGCATTTCTATCTGTATCTGTAGAGTAGGGAGGGTGGGTGTAGGCCCACAGCTCTTAGGTCACAAGTGACCCATTGTACATCCTCCCGAGCAGTTGTCCTCCTAGGTCATCGTCCATTCTGTCCTTTGCAGGAAGGTGGACAGGTCACTAGGAGACATCTCCTTTATATCGGCAGGTGTGTGTAGACCAAGACTCGCCGAAAACACACTTCTTTGGCAACCTTGAGGTGTCTCACGGCGGCACCGCGAAGGTTTTGAAAGGTGCAGCGACATTACTGTCTTCACCTTCTTGGGGTTCCCTCCGTGAAGGTACACAAGTGAGGGCGCTTTCCTGCAGGGGCAGCCGGTTCCTTGCCTTTATTCAAGGCGGAGCTCTTGACGCCCGCCGCGGAAAGTGCTCTTGCTGTTGGAGGTAGAGTGGGGGAGGAGGAGGGTGCACTTATAGTTGCTGCCACACCTGCCTCTTTCGCTCTCTTTCCCCTTTTGGCTTCGGAGCCGCAAATGCGATTACGCCTTGGCTTTTGTATTACATCACGAGGTGATCTGCTATTTCCAGCCTCATTCCAAGCGGTAGATTGGAATTCCTATTCATCTCCAGCCACCGCCTTAGATTGAGTTGAGCACTTCTGTCTAGCCTCAGGATTGGTTTTTGTTGTTGTTGTTTCTGTTTTTGTGCTTTTTTCATTCATGTGTGTTCCCACAAATAGTTGGGGAAGAGTCGGTCACTTCTGGTCACCCTACATTACCAGAGGTGAGCTTATTACAATGAGATTTCGCCCGGTTCTCCAAGGGGATCGTTCGTAACCGCGTATCACCCTGTAGCCATTCAGCTGTCGGCACGATTGACTTCCCGGAATGGGTCCCCAGTCCCCTGGCCGTTCCTCTATCCGCCACCTGGGGATGCGCCCGATAGGTACACCAATCCACGGGGCGCATCTCCAATAATAATACATTTATTGTTCTTCGAAATACAATCAAAATTAAATTTTATTTGACTTTTTATTTGACGTGCAAATGGCTTTTTGTTCAGATTGCGACTTAGCATTCCCATCTGGTTTCCAACAATGCCAAATATAAAAATTTCGATATGAAGTAATGAATGCTGTGAAAATTTTACTATATATCTTCAAGCAAGTATAATTTTCATCATCCATTTCAGAACGAAACTCAACTAGTTCCAGAATCAACTACATTTCCATTTGTACTTCACAATATGCCAAATTTGATGCCTCAACAAAGTGAGTGTTGTTCAAACATCTACAACTCAAAAAGGTTCCTCCTAACAAGTCCTGACTTTCCATATAGTCTCAACAGGAAGACCAAATGCAGCATTCAAATCCGAAAGGCAAACGACAATATCTGCAGAGTGAGGATGAACTTTCTCTTTTTTTGGCTAGGAACAACATTGTATAATAACTGTCCGTACGGGTCTCTGGAAATCGATGGAAAATATATCTGCGGGTGCAACAAAGAACTGAAATTAACAACTACTTTCGGTGGCAGCAACCTAAAAACGCTAGTATTCACAAGCGAAGGCATTGAACTCAACTTTCCTTCAGGATTCGTTCTGGAAATCACTCAGGACGAGTGTCCCAAAAAATACTACCCTCAAGCACCTAACAAAGAAAGAAACAATTCACAATTAGTCAGATTTGATGATAACCAGTCAAGTGTAGTGCCAAGACCAAGAGAAGCAACAATACAGCAATTACAGCTCATCAATGAAATAACCGATATAGTGGAAGATGATGGCAAGAACTACTATCGAAATTATCCGCGAATCATTAAGAGCATTTATTTCTTTGCGGCTCCAGACTACTACCCCTTCCCTACGGCACCACAGGACATAGAAAGAACAACCTTCATCGATACAGGAAGCATTAAAAGTATCGTTACAAATCTCAATCAGTTCCAGTGCAACAAGTGGAACCAGATGCAGTTCGATCTTCTGAATGAAAGGTATGGAGGAAATCTGCAAACTTGCAAGAGGGAAAAGGAACGTGAAAACAAACGCAAGGAAGAGGGAAATAGAAAGGGTCATAACTGCGTTGAACTAGATTATCTTGCTGGATATTTCAAAAGCCCTGGATATCCATATTACTACCCGGCAGGACTGAATGTATGTTACAGGTGGGAAAGATTGTATTTAAAATATTACTGAAGTTTTTTCCCAACACCAAACCGTTATTTAAACACCTCGACACGTGTTTCAATCACCAAGTGATCATCTTCAAGTGGAAGATCAAACTAAACATAAAAAGTTATCCTTATTTATACCAAAGATACCTCTTCTAGGTCCTTGCGTCTTAATGTATTAAATTAATTTCATAATATTGCATTATCTGCTAGTCTCAAATTGATTTTACAATATGTTCTTATGTAATAGTCAGGTAAATCTAATAATTAAAATATTATTTCAACAAGCTATATAGTATACTATTAGATATTGGTCAACCATCGTTATTCATAATATTATTATGTTTACTTATTTCTACACCCTCATAGTCATCTAGATGTCTGTTAACTTTAACTAATCTTGATGAACTGAAGTCTATGGAATGGTTTTGTTGCAAAATATGATGTGCAACTGCTGATTTTTCAGGTCTTTCATATTTTAAGTGAGCTATGTGTTCCTTACATCTCACTTTGATAGATCCATTAAAATATGGAAGACCTGAAAAATCAGCAGTCGCCCATCATATTTTGCAACAAAACCATTCCATAGACTTCAGTTCCTTAAGATTAGTTAGACAAGTTAATAACAACAGGCAACTAGATGCCTATGAGAGTGTGGAAATAAGTAAACATAATAATTTTATGAATACCGATAACGGACCGTTACCAAATAGCATACTATATAGCTTGTTGAAATAATATTGTTGGGTTTACTGATTACTATATATAGCTGTAACATTTAAACATACATAAGGACATATTGTTATTCTAATCGACCATTCAGTAAATTACCGGAATTCTTGAATCTATTGCTTTCTAAACATTCCAGGATATCGAGTTACAAACTCTTCTCTTCTAAATGTAACACGTAGTATTCATGATTAAACTCATGTCCTTCTGCTAAAAGATGATTTGCAAATCTGGGATTGATGTTTCTTTTCACAAAACTACTTCTATGCTCTTTAATTCTTTGGGAAAATGTTCTCCCTGTTTGGCCAATATACAGTTTTCGGCGAAAGCCACAAGTCAGCCTATGTACTCCTAAGTATATTTCTGATCTATCCGACACCAAAGTTTTGTTTTTATTGTTTTCATTAAATTTACTTAGACTGTTATTCGTTCTGTAAGCTACGTTTACGCACTCTTCCTTCAAAAAACGGGCAATATTATTGGTTGGTTCACCCAAATATGACAATGTCCTATAAATGACGTTATCGCACCTTGAATTTGGGTAGACCTGGTCCATGGCTTGCTTTTGTAGTTTTTTGGAAAGAATGGAGTCTATGATATCTACCTTATTACCGTTGTTGACCGCTATTTGTTTGATTAAACTCAGCTCTCTCTGAAAATTACTCTCAGGCAGTGGAACAACTTTATGCTGGTAAGGGAACGTGGAGGAAATATGTATGAATATTTAAATTTAAAAAAAAACTGATGTCCGACTCGCGTATGCGACACCCTCACAGTGTTAAGCAATTTTCCTCTCATTTATACTTCTGTTGGACAACTTTTTTTTCCAAATCAAAGGTGTACATTGAAACCTCACTGATTTATAAATTGAATTCTTTTTCAGACTTATTCTTTGAAAGCTAGATGAAATTGAAAAACTTTTATTTTTCATATTTTTACGAAGAATCACAATTGATGAATGAAAATAAAAAAAAAAAAGATTGTTTCGTTCCTAATGGAATGAGCTACTTCGATATTATGTTGACCTCTGTTTCTTGCCCCAAAATATATATATTGGCTTTTTCCTACTCCATCTTGATAAAAAAGTCAATATCTCCTAAAATAATACCCTTTCAAGCTACAAAACATCTTTTGACACAGGGCCACGAGTTCAATTATGATAACGACGTTTGAATTTGGATGACAAAGAATAAAATCAAATTTTAATGCTTGGTTATCAATAAGTTCAAGGATTCGGAACTATTTCTCCATAACGGAACAGATTTGAATGAATCCTCTTCATTAAATCTGTTTTGTAACGATGAAATGGGTAATAAGGGTATTTCTTATTAAGGTGAATCGAGGTTCAAAGTAGTTTTTGTATTTATTATCATTGTATATACATTTTGTATACTTAGTTTGTTCTTCAAATAGAGAAAAATGATCAAGTAGTGAATTTGTCAAGTAGTAATGGTTATTTGAATACATAAAAGTACGATGTAGAAATAGTAGGCACTGAACATGCCTGAACAAGTGAAACTAACAGGTGTCGCGCGTTCGTAAACTAATATGTGAAAACTTCACAATGAATTGTTATTTTAATGAGCCATATTTTCACCGCTCAAATAAAATTTAAAATTTTGATAGTACAGTTTCGACAGGCGAAACTGTACTAAACCAAATTGTTTATAGCTTTCAAACTATTTGTCTACGAAACTTGGCTCAACTCGTAAATTACCGAAGCTGAAATTACAAATCCACTAACACCTCAATTATGATTTTTGAGACATGACCTTCGTGAACTAAACATTTCCTAGCGAATTTCACAGCTTACGTAACATTTCAGTGACGTTCGATTTGATCAATAAGGACCACGAAGACGTTAGATTTGTGACGGACTCATTCCGTTGTGGTAGAGGATTCTCTGGCGTATACCAGCAGATTGCTTGTCAACAACCGGAGCATCCAATTAATCCGGTTAAACCGACCACCACCGTCATCCCCGTTATACCGACCCATTCAATGAAACCGCCAATTTGCGACAGATTCGTGGGAGAGAAGGAGTTTGTTCTTGAAGTGATCGGGGATGAAGAGATTTGTCATTTTCAGATCAGGAAATCCTCAGAGGTAATTGAAAATGATACACTTTCCATTTAAAAGATCATGTAGAAGTGAATCAATATTTCTGGGGTTAATTTTCATCCTTCACGGCAGGAAAAATTCGAATGTATAATGGGGAACATCTTATTCACCATGATGACTGTCAAAAATTCTGATCTAAAATAAACTGCCACATTATCAGTAACTTTCACCTTCAGAATGCATAAATATGTTGAGACGCGAAATCATCTTTTTTTTTAAGCGGTGACTCGTTACTTGGTGAAAATTAATAACATTAAAAATCTTCAGAATATACAGGGTGTAACTAAATAAGTGTAAAACATTCAAGGAGGTGATTCCTCATCGAAAAAAAGATAGGAGCTTTCATTGGAGCATCCCTTGTTAAAATACAGCCCCTTAAAGGGGGTACATAAAATTTGTATAACAATTTTTTTCACAAGCACTAAAAGATCTGACGTTTTGTACTACCAAAAAGACACTCAGCCAGAAATTTATTTGGTTTACTACATGGTTGTAAGGGGTGGAAAACGCAACCCCTAAAATTTATTTCCAATGTAACTTTTTGTCTTATTATTTGTTTACCATTTAAAAATTTATTTCCGATAGCCTGTTTCATTCTAAACAAAAAATATCTTTTGANAACCATGGGGTAAACCAAATAAATTACTGGCTAAGTGTCTTTTTGGTAGTACAAAACGTCAGGTTAATTTCAATATTGTAACTTTTTCAGTGCTTGTGAAAAAAATTGTTATACACATTTTTTGTACCATCTTCAAGGGGCTGTATCTTAACAAGAGATGCTCCAATGAAGTTTCTTTAAATGAAAAATCCTATATTTTTTCAGTTACAATATTGTAACTTTTTCAGTGCTTGTGAAAAAAATTGTTTTACACATTTTTTGTACCATCTTTAAGGGGCTGTATCTTAACAGGGGATGCTCCAATGAAGTTTCTTTAAATTAAAAATCCTATATTTTTTCGATGAGGAATCACCTCCTTGAATGTTTTACACTTATTCAGTTACACCCTGTATAATTGCATTTCCAATATGCGTTTCACTACGATAGTGGTTTCCTCAGTTGGACTGATACTCTACCCCAGGGGTCGGTAAGTAGTTTTAGGTGGGGTCCGGATACTGTGGAAAGTTTTAATGAGTTCCAGAAAAAAATGTACATTCAAAAATCTAGTGTCATGTACCGATCTCAACAATTTTTAAGTTTTTCATCAATTCTATGACCATATTGACCGTTTTTCAACGAGAGCGAGAGTGTTGTACGACACTAGACTTTTCTAGTCTCCGAAATCGAAGAGGTGCTGTGTGATATCTGAAACGAATTTTGACAGCTTGATATGCAGAATTGAAACTTTCAGTGTAAAATGAATCAACCAAAAAAACTCACCTATTGTCCTGAACCTATTCTCCTGATGGTGCTAACTTGAGCATCTAAACGCACGTTGACAAACAGTATTTTTGTTCTGTAAACAAATGATTTCTTCATAGCTTATTTCGTATAACATAACGTTCCAACATCTCATCTTTAGGGATATGTAACATTGTATACATTTTTGAACATTCGAGAGAGAAACAAAGGGTCAAACAATCCCCAGTCATCAACAAAAAATAAACAAAAAAGGTAACCTTTAATCAAATATTTTTTGATGAATTCAAGAAATTTACCAACAGGAAGAGCATCGATATTTCACAAGTTCTCTTTTTCACCTCCTTTTTCCCAGTTTTCAGTTAAATACAACTTTATTTCATTGTTTGTAAGAGCTTAGAGTATATAATCATCGGAAATTTCTGTTTCAGGATGTTTGCAAAATCAACTTGTACTTCGAAAAATTCGATCTTGTCTGCTCTATCCAGTCTTTGAGTGCAGATGGCATGATGTTTTGTGGACATCTATCGGGACGTAAAGGTAGCTACTTGTAATATGTGAATAGGATACCGGTAAGATTTCTATACACTCGTGATTCTAGATCTCTTTTTTTGTTTTCCTGTAAGTCAACTGTAGTAGTAATAACTTTGCCGCAAGATGGTGTCAACAGTCAATAAATAAATTTTAGTTTATTCATATTAATTTCATCGTTAATTTTGCCAATACTATATTTTTTCTTAGAAGCTATTTGGATAGTTTATACCTACTGGATGTAATTGGTTCTTTCGACATTTTTATAGTCGTATCACTAAATTACATGTATTTATAAAAGCATAAAATAAAAAAATGGGCGATTAATACAGATATAAGGAAAGTTTTGTAAAAACGAGTCTTATTATTGATTTTTTATCAGAGGAAACATAAGTAGTGATGATTCACTTAAGTTTTTGGAAAACTTGTCTGCGAAACATCAATATCGAAATTCTTTCCCTTGAAGATGGTCAAGATATAATGTATTTTGAGTTACTCGGGCAAAATATTTAAGTGCTTATAGGTATTTGTAAATAGTATTAACAATATCGATAATATCTTTTCCTAAAAAGTAGTGAATAATATTATCAGTATACTACAATAAAAAAACACTGAAAAAACTAAACATTAAAGAGAAAAACAATGCTTCTTACCAGAAGAACTACAGGACGTTGAGGCACTCAATCGGCATTTTGTTGACTCATGTGAAAACTCTCGCCAGCCAAGTACTAGTTTACTAGATGAATATACTGCTGAAAAATTACCACATTTTTTACATTCGTGGAGGTGAATGAAGAATATGTTTTTCAAACTTTGAAAGATAACCTTAATATTACTCT